CTCAGCTCATCAGCGCTTTTTACATGTTTTACAGCACTCTGGTAAAGCACTGGACAGGTATTGAAGGGCAAGCACGGAGGAGAGTGATTTCTGCTGCTTGCACACGTATGGCTACATAAGGGACAGCAGCACAGGCGTGCCAGGGAAAATAGCATTCATGAGATTCCACAGCAACACATTCAGAAATACAGCAATTGTGATTCAGGTGCAAAGATAAACCACTGGCACCATTTAAATCAACTCTGTTTCTGAAATGCCAACTGTAAGAAACTGCTAATATTTATTTTCGTTAGATATACTGCATCTGGTGTTTATGGCTTAGTGCTGTTGCCAGAGAGCCCCAGGAGCTTAGGTCTGGGAGCCAAGCCAGTGTCTACCAACTTAGTTGGACTACTGTGGATACACAAAGATCCAATATTTCTCTGATTTAAAACTTTCAGGCAGATTTTCAGGGACTTTTATTTATAGCTAACATGTGTAGAGAGAAATAAAACAGTCATTTAATATGCTGTGCAATTATGGGCCTGTTCCTTCCAGTTTCACATTTCAGTAGCTTATTTTGAAACAGAGAATGGGAAACCTGGTTATTTCTACCTTAACATTTCATATGTGGATAGACACAAAGAAATCGAGCAATGGAATAATTTTCCATCAAAAAAGGAAATGGCCAAATAGAGTTTCATCACAAAAGTTATACAGTTACTCTATTTACACAGATGGTCATTGTAAATGTTACAGCCACATAATAGTAAAATGTTTTCCCTTCTTTGACTCCTTATAGCACAGATTTATATCCCTCTGTTAGAGGAAGCTCTGACTTGTCAATGAAGATGCCCTGGTGTTCTGATCTCTGAAGCTTTAAGATTCTCTTCTGTTTGAAACTGGAGTGGGTGCTCTCCAGCCATCCCTACAGAAAATCAGAATGGTTTGTTAAATTGACCAAAAAAATGTATGCCTCAGTCTAAAGAAATCAAACAGAATTAGTAAAAACAAAGAGTATATATTCCATCCTCAGGGAGTATTTTAAGCATCTGCGCAGACAAAAATATTAAACAAAAGCGTTCACAATTTTATTTCGTGGGGACGTGTAGGATGCTTGGCCATCTGCTGAAAACACAAGGCTGCCAAATATCACAGATTCACACCTTGTGTCTGGAAATTGAGTTCACATGGCAAATCCATGTATTTCTTGTGGTGTCTGCATTCCACTGGCCTTTCCTGTACCTACTGCTCAGTTTTACACTTCACTGACTGCTATGCTGGATTGCTTCAGTTTTTGAATGAGCAGAGCCCAATTTTGCAAAGTCCCACTGACTGCCACACAGCTGTTGGCAGGCTATCTGACTGTATGCTTGACAGGTTTTCATAAGAAAAATCCAAGTGTTTGGAAGATCAGGGCCCCTACTCAAAGCCACTGGCATCAGGAAAAGGTGTAACATTGTGGTGTTCAGGGAAAATTCTTCCATTCTTTCATTCTGAAAAAGTAATCAAACAGAAAATCCTTAAAGGCTAACTTTTCCAGGCCACCATCTTATATTATGAAAAAAAAAAACCCACCAGAGACTTCCATGGATATCTGACTTCATCAAAACTCTGCCATACTTTTAATTCATATAAACCTAATGAGCTGAGAGTATGGGACTAGTATTTCCCTAAATAGTTTTTAACCAGGTCAGGATCAAGGCAACAACACTAAAACAAGGTTTCATAGAATTACAGAATCATAGAATAGTTAGGGCTGGAAAGGACCTTAAGATAATCAACTTCCAACCCCTTTGCCATGGGCAGGGACACCTCACATTAAACCATGTCACCCAAGGCTCTGTCCAACCCAGCCTTTCAGGTAATCTAATTGGAAGTCTTGCACAGATTCATCACCTTGCTACTGTCTATAGCACAGAATTTTATGGTGATACCTCCTAAATTATAGAATCACAGAATGGTTTGGATTGGAAGAGACCTTAAAGATCATCTACTTCCAAACCCCCTGCCATGGACAGGGACACCTTCCATTAGATCACGTTACTCCAAGCCCCATCTAACCTGGCCTTAAACACTGTCAGGGATGGCGCAACCACAGCTCCTCTGGGCAACCTATGCCAGTGTCTCACCATCTCATAGTAAAGAATTTTTTCCTAATGTCTAATCTCAATCTCCCCTCTGTCAGTTTAAAGCCATTCCCCCTTGTTCTGTCACTACATGTCCTTGTAAAAGTCCCTCTTCAGCTTTCTTTAGGCTTGCTTTAGGCACTGGAAGCTGCCATAAGGTCTCCCCTGAGCCTTCTCTTCTCCAGGCTGAGCAAGCAGAGCTCTCTCAGCCTGACAGGAAATACATTTTTCTAGCACCTACTGGCAATCTGCAAGATAACAAATACAAACTGTACTTCTTGAAGTTCAGAAACCTATCTAAATTAAGGGTGCTTTTCATAATGGTTCCTCAAATATAACAGTGATCTTTAAACTCTTCTATTATTTATTAGGTAGTGAGCCAATTATCAGGCATCCACTCACAGACTTTTATCATTGAAACTGCATTACACCTCTAATGCCTTCATAGCTCAGAGATCCACATCTGGCTAGGACTCAACACAGTGTTGCAGCCTATGCAGTCTTAAGTTGCTTTAACCACCACTCTCCCCAGACATCACAGTTACTGTGCTAATTATAAGGGAAGCCTCACAGTTTAAAACAGACTCAGGTCAAAAAACATGAAAAATACTCTGACTTTTTACCTTTGCTAAATTATTTGCCAACAAGCACGAGTTACCTAATTCAAAGGTGAGCCATTGCTGAGCTGTGGTCACTGATGTAAGGACCCACCTTGCGTGACAAAAGTTCCAGCATCTCTTTCATTTTACCTTACGTTTTGATACTTTGTAAGGAGTGTTTTTCACCAGATACTTACCTGCCTGCTTATGTCCAGGACATGCTGAATTACATGCCTTTTTCTGTGGTGTTCAACACAAACTGCAATCAGCATTTCATACAACTCAACTTTTAATCTTCTATCTTATCTGTAAAAGAGGGATAACCCTCACTGTGCTTAAAACTATTTTCTAGGTGCCCTTACACAGCAAAGCCTGCTGCCCTCCCTGCTGCTCATGGGACATGCACAGCATCCCTTGAAATTCTGGGATATCTTTGATTCCTTCTCCTTTCCAATCTGTTGCCATTATTTAAATACAATTTCCTCTTCATTTTTTCTGAGATCTTCAGGGTTTTTCTTATGCAGATTCCTGCTGGCATACCCATGTTCAGACAAGCTCTTTGAAAGGTATCTGCTGTCAATATCACGTCATTCATCAGCTGGATAACCAAATGGATTTCTCAGAACTCCTTGTTCAGCCATCTTTCTCTGTAGTCCTCCCAGTGGGACAGAATGAAATTAAGTTTAAACATGGCTTTAAATTGTTTAGTCACAGATAACTGAGTTTGGAAAGTCATACTGGAGAATGATCACCCTGGGAACTAGCTAAGTATGATTCTGAGGTAGGGGGCAGGAGAAGGGAGGCGATATGTCATCTCGGGTACAGTAAAATCACAGATGTTATCAGTTCTCCTAGTGAAAGGCACAAGCTGCTCTTTCATTCTGGTCACACAAAATAATTTCCTGCACACTCAAGATCGGCATTGTTTCTCCTCAGAAGGAATTGGGCTCTAAGGGGGCTGAAAAGCCTGGTGAACAGATCACCTTAATTTTAAGGGAACTACATTTTATGAATAAGATAAGAACAAGCAGAATTCGGTTTTACATTACTGATTTCTCTCAATTCTGCAAGGGCCTCTTATAAGGGACAAAAGCTAACTAGACAAAAAAAGGTAGTGATGGTCACACCATTGCTTTTACAAGCAGGTTTCCTTGAGGAAAAGGTATTTTCTAATTTGGTTATAGCTGAATCTATCATAAAATTAAAGTCATTCATATTCACTGTGATAAAATAGCTCTGACAATGTTAATCCTTATTTCACACCCTCCTCTCTCTAGCCATCATCAAGCATCATCACTCCCCCAGATTTATCCTACCAGAAGCACAGAGGCCCTGCAGCTTCTTTTCTTGGTCCAAGATTTCGTAATAACCTTCTCAGAAAAACCCAAACCCTGCCCTAACAGACTAGGGAAAAAAATACACTCTGACTGATTAGAAGGAAACCAAAATGATAATAGAGCTGAGGGAAGATGCTCAGGGCTGGAATGTACCAGCACTTCTGAGGCAAAAAAAAATGCTGTTCTGAGAAACTCACACACCAGACTCACTGCTGACTGTGCCACCACCTTCGCAGGGTGACCTCCCTGCTGGGCACTGCTTTCATTGTCAGCGATCATGGCCAGTCCCAATCAGGCAAGAAAGCGCCTCACTTGCACAGGGACAAGCAAAAATGTTCTCCATGCACACACAGAAAATGGGGGCTGTTCAGCCTGGAGAAGAGAAGGCTGCGTGGAGACCTCATAGCATGCCAGAAAGAAATACTTCATCAAGGACTGCAGCGATAGGACAAGGGTTGATGGGTTTAAACTTAAGCAGGCTAGATTTAAGTTGGATATAAGGAAGAAGTTCTTCACTGTGAGGGTGGTGAGACACTGGCACAGGTTGCCCAAAGAAGCTGTGGCTGCCCCATCCCTGGCAGTGTTCAAGGCCAGGCTGGATGCAGCTTGGAGCTACCTGGTCCAGTGGAAGGTGTCCTTGCCCATGGCAAGGGGGCTGGAACTGGATGAGCTTTAGGTCCTTCCAATCCAAACCATTCTATGATTCTATCTACGTTACAGAAGCAAGCAAGAACGCACTTCTACGCGTGTCCAAGCACACACCGAGGCAGCAGTGACTGCTCTCGCACACACACCACACATAAACATGTTTTTACATCACACCAGCAATTACAAACTTCTGGGCTCGGCACCTCTCCCACCAGGCTCCACTGTAACACCGTCCCCGTGGCCGAGACACCGCTCTCCGCTCCTCAGGAGAAGCCCCGACCCAGACCCCCTGAGAGGACCCACAGTGGCTGGCGGCAACCCGCCGGCACCTCTCCTCCCCACCGCGCCTGCGCGCCCTGTCGCCACAGCAACGGCTGGCCGCGTTGCCGCAGCATGTCGCTGCCCGAGCCCTTGAGGCGGCGGCTGGGCTCCTTCAGCCGCACCGTCTTCACCGACAGCCAGCGCACGGACCCGACGGACCCGGGAGACGGCGCAGGTAACGCGCGGCGGCGCCTTGCCAGCGACAAAAATGGCGGCGGGCGCGGCTGGGGCGGGGGGAGCGCCCCGGCAAGGAAGATGGCGGCGCCAAGCGGCACCTCGCGGTCGTGAGGGCGGGGCCTCGGGCTGGGGCAGGGCCTCGGGGGCAGTGAGGTACCACGGTGGCGGGGTCTCGGTTGTCTCCCGTTGCGCCCCGGCTGGAAGGCGGAGGTTCCCGTTCCGGAGCCCCGCCGCTGCGCTCCAGATCCAGGGTCCCGGGAGGGGCCTCAGAGTAACGCCGGTACCCACTGCCAGCCCAGCCGTGAAACGCCTTATCGATAGGGCCTGGTTTCGCCGCCAGTCGTGTAGTGTGGCGGCGTGATGCTGCCTGCGATGAAACTTCTAACACGTGTGTGGTGGTGCAGGCCTGAGAGAGGCTTCCTAAAAGTGTTACACCAGGAACAGGGGTGATTTAAAACCGGGGACACTCTGCACCCACCGTCACAGCTTAGTAAGCAAGTTTGCCTAGAGCATTGCAGGTAAAATCCATTACTCACACACCAGGCACTCTGCCTGTGCCCTAGTAAAAAAAAACATAATTACAGAATAAACAGCACAACGAGGTGTGCAAAGCTAGAGTTGGATAGCAAAAACTCAGGCTCATGATATGCCAGCTTTCTCTTTGCTTTTCCAAGTCTGTCAGAATTGCCTATAGCCATTCCTTCATCACACTGCCAGTGAAACTTGCAAGCCAACAATGCCCCCTTTTCATACCTTTGGACTAAGAGTAGCCATGAAAAGAAACATGGTCTGTCTACATAAAAAGGCTATATTCATTTCAACTGGTAAATCCATTCCAAGATGATAAAAATAACCAAAAAGTCATTCTCAAGACAGGAGTACTCATTTCCTTTATGTAGTTATACTGCTGAGAATTGTTAGTAATTCTTCATTTATCAAACAACACTGAAATACTGTTATTAACTACAGGATTAACTTTTAGTCATTTCCAATTCCCGTTATGAAAACTCCTAAGTGAATATCCAGCTCTCAGAAGCCAATTGCAAATGTACCATTAACTGTTGGAGATCAGGATTTCAAAAGTTAAGTTTACACATGTATACATCAGTGAGTTGCTCTAGCATCAATGAATTGGCCATGACAATACTGTCTTACTTTTCCATTAATTTTAACAAGCCCAGAAGATAACATTAGTTCAATTTAGGGATAGAAAGATGAATTAGGGTTGGTTTGTATTGCTAAGCAGTCATCCAAAACACAGTTGTAGAACTTGAGCAGAAGTTACAAATACACATCCTATGTCAGTGAAACCTTTAACAGACCTAAAGCATGGTCATCACAATTGAAATTGGAGCTCTTGGATTTTCTGCTTTTAAGTAATACGGCCATGAACCATTAAATTTTCATCGAGTACATACAGGGCAGACACATAGGTACTGGTAATTGGATGGTCATGTTTGTGTGAAAGGTAAAACAGCATTTTAGAATTGTATGCTGGTGCTCCTCAAAGCTCTCCTGGTGTTAAAGAGATTCATTCATTAGGGCAGCTGGGACAATTTTAGGTAGACAGTGAAACTGAAGTACCTGTAGAATTTCATTCCTTTACAGATGTACAAAAGTGCTGATGCTTAAAAATGGGATTATTAAATATATATATATATTGGTTGTCTTACACCTTCTATTTCAGTATAACAATTCCCTGCCCCTCACACCCTACCCTTAAGGTCTGTCCCAGTTCTGTTCCCAAATCCTCCTCCCTTCCCATGTAGTCTAGTAGATACCATGAATACTTCTGCAACTGGCATAAAGACTTCTGGAACAGAGTGTACCAGGCTGCATGTGGCTGGATTGGAAACAGGGATGCCAGACTGAGATGGAACAAAGACAGGTATGAAGGTGGTTGGAAGATACGGAAAGAGAAGGCAGTGGTTCCAAAGCTGGGACTGAGACAACATGACTGTTCAGACAGATTTCAATCAAGTATCACCATTGTGACAGACAGGGACGTAGGACTTGAATACAAATCAGCAAGTCACAATGAATACTTTCTAAACTTGCTCAGATAGTACCACATGTGCCTACAAGCTTCTTTTGGGGAAAACATAAGGAAGGGAACTTGGTAATTGAAGTAAAGTGGATACATCGTCAGTTGAATAGAATACAGCAATGAAACTTCACCCATTAAAAATGAATTATTCCCTTAGAATGCCCTTTTAAATTTTTCCTTGTTTTAAGTTTAATCTTGTATGTGTGTTATGAAATCCTAAATGTAGAATTTAGTGCCTGCATGTTAGAGTTAAATATTTCCTTTTGTCTACATAGTATGAATGCATTTTGTTCTGTCCTGACTTAAAGGATAAGTTTTAGTTTGGCACATATTTGAAATTGTTAGCTGTTAAGAACTAGAAGAATTACTGGGTTCTTGCAATATCCAAATGTCTATTTAAATAAAGATTGAAAATGGAGTAGGCAGTGTAAACCCGCTCTCTAGCAGTTAAGTCCTTAGTCAAGAGGATCCTCTACAAAATAATGATCATCTAGTATTTTGTATCATTTCAACTTTGTTCTCTGAGGAACAGCAATGAAATAACCACTTAATTCTTTCTGAAATGTCAGTATATAGCACTACTTGAGCTAAGACTACCACTCAGAGTTTATGGAGTAAGCCACAAGCTATAACAGGTAATCAGCAGTCAGACACTCATCTTGAATATATGACTATGTGATAAAAATTCTCTGTCCTGTGAACTGAAAGTTTGCATTAGATTCCAGGAGATGGTGTAACTCAAGATAGGGTAAGAAGTTTTCCTCTGGATAAAAATATTTTTCTTAATGTTTAGTTGGGAGAATGTTAATGCCCTGCTTGAAGCTAAGGTGAATTCTGTTATATTTATGGAAGTATGGAACAAACTAGGAGTGATAAAGACTGCTCTCTATCTACAGACAATGAAGTAGTTTCCAGTTTACCATTGCAGATGTCCCTCTATTTCAACGTTTATTTTTTCCCATTTTGGTGGCTCAGCATAGTTGTCATGCTCCATCTGAAGGTGAGTCCTGAAGGAAATGGTTTACACGTGTACTGTGTTTGTGCTCAGACACCTCCTAGTACTGAAGTAGAACTCACTGTAATTAGAGGTTATTGGGTTTATTTGGGAATTCCTTAGAACTGGAGGTTCAGGTGTATTTGAAAGTGAATACAACACTGTCAGCTTAGAGTAGCAAATGGTATCTTCATTTAACCACAAACAGCATGTTAAACAGCATAGCAGAAACTTTTACTCTCTTCTTCACTCTAGTATCCAGACTTGTCGGATTACTACAAGTTCATCTTGGTCACGATCATGATCCTGACCTCATTAATAGAGGTCATTCGACTCTACCTGGGATACATGGGCAATCTGCAGGAGAAAGTATGTTACTTCATGTACACATTAATGTGTGAAGTAGAGCTTAATTTTGGAGTTTAATTTTTGGAGTTTTTTAATAGATGATATCTCCCTGTTATAGGTCCCTGAGCTGGCTGGGTTTTGGCTCCTGACTCTCCTCCTGCAGTTGCCTATGATTCTGTTCTTACTATTTAACGAAGGTCTAAAAATTCAGCCACTGGAGCGAGCAGTGAATAGCATCTTTGCTGTCTTCCTCACATTCCAAGTCATTGCAGCCTTTGTCACCCTGAAAAGAATGGTGAACAAACTGGCAACTCACTTTCGCCTTAATGAGTTTGACCACCTGGAGGAACAGCCCATTCCTGGTTTTTATGGCCTTGGTAAAGAAGAAGGAGCAGTTTCAGTGGCTGGTGGGGACCGCAGTGCTAGGGTTCACACACTGAGGCCTTGAGGAGCTAGTGGAGGCAGGCCTTGTGCTGCTACAGAGTTGTTTCCATTTTGTTGGGTCTTTTTTTACCTTTCTACATCAAAGATATTTAAAAAAATAGATACTGCTTAAAAGCCAACATTAAACCTCAGAGATTGGAGCTTCACTCTGCAAGGAAAAAAAAAGAAAAAAATCAAAGCCAGTTACATAACTGGCTTGAGTGGGCTCTTTGTGATCTGCTACTGTGTCTGGAAACAAGCTCAACAGACTAGATCTGGTGGTTTTTACATTTTATAAAGGCACATGGTGGTTTTTAAAAAATGGAAGCCTTTTTTCCCTCGCTTTGTGAATGAAACACATTGTTTTGTAAGCAAAACACATTTTGTTTACAATAAATCTTTTATACTTGTTTATTGTGTGGATACCGGGTTTGTCTCTGTTCTCCCAGATATGTTGTACATATTTAATGTCTGGTACCTCAGTGAAAATAAACATGGTCTGTCTGCATAGAAAGGCTCAATCTCAGTGAAGGAAAAAAAAAGTAAAGAACCCCCCCAAAACCCATCCCAACAGCAAAGAACCTCAAATAATCTTAAAGCCCAGAAAGAACAATGTATGATAGTGAACAAAGACTACAGTTTCAGAGGTGGTCTTCCAGATAATTCCAGTACTAGGAATTCTTTAATAATAGGCCAAGGATGGAATTTTAAAAGTATTCCTTCCTTAAAACTCCTGCATTCATCTTTGTCTTAGTTGGAGTTTGAAATATTGAAGGCATTCAAACGGGATGGTGCAGTTTTCTCCAAAGGAGGATTCAATCAGCAGTAACAACATTACAGCCATTAAAAGAGTTGGTTTATGTCACTGAAAGGCAGAGCCCATTTCTTACAAGCCAGGGCATATACCAGGTTTCCCTGATTCCTGTCATTTGTATTAATGTCTAGACTATCTGCTCCAGTTTCTGTAATGGCTAAAAGTTCACTTTTTCTGTCAAGGAGGGATGGGGATCAAAAGTTAAAATACTTTTTTTTTTTCTTTGACTCCTTCGAGTTTTTCAGCAGGGCAAGAGTTGTCAGCTTTGAGAGCTGACACAAACATCCAGCCTGCTCGAAGGAATGTAATGAAGATGGGTCAGACATGAAAAAGGCACAGTGCACTTAAAGCTGCTGCATGTTGAAAGTTACAGAATCTCTTGTGAAAAGGCGGCATTAGCTTTGCTATATACCAGAACAGTTCATTTTATTTTTAATCCATGAGTGAATGGTACAGTTAATTCTACTAAATTTCCCTCTTCATTTTGTTATTCTAAAGCATATATTATCAGAGCATATACTCCTTTGGTTTTTTGGTTTTTTTTTTTTTTGTTGTTATTTTTTTTCGTGGAGGGGTGTTAAACAAACTACTGGCTTGGATTGGCTTTTGTGCTGAAAAACAGGGTTTCTGTAAGAGAGTCCCTAGGAGTGTCTTTAACGGTTAATATAAAACATTTAGACCCCCATATTCAGAGCCTGCAGGAGGTTCCAGCAGAAGTTACTTCATTTCAAAAACACTTTCACAGCGTTAGAAACTCCTTGTAAAAACATTCATAACTGGTGCAGTGGGAACATTGCACATATTTTTATACAGCAATTACACCACTGGAGAGTGCCAAGGACAGGGCCGACAAGCTGCCAGACCTTGGTAGGATCCATTTCAATAACACATACTGGCATAATAGATCCTGGCAGGCCAAAGAGAAACATCAAATATCTTGGAGCCTGTTTTCTCCAATGATTGTAAACTCAGGTGTCTTAGTGCTTTGGTAGCCATACAGAGCTGCCTCTTCCTGCCCAAATATGATGGGACTAACACCGATGGATGCCCTTTTGGGCCATGGATCTAGAGTAGACCTCCAAGGAGCTCACATCCACCACTAAGAAAAACAGGGTGTTAAGAGAAATACAAGTTAAAGATGCAGCATGGAAGCTGAGCACTGCTAGCTTTTGATATCTCCCAGTAATTTGTCTAAGAAAACATGCAAGTTAAGGGAAAGCATTATTTTTCTGATAGGGACACCAGCTCTCCGAGTCTGCCCTCAAAACCGTTGACAGGACAAGCACTGGGACAGCTTAGAAAAGACACTAAGGCAATGGCTATGCCTTTTGTTCTTCACGTGTCTTGCCTGCTCCCTTTATTAAAAGCCCACTATCAGAGATTAGTAGGGAAGTGCACGGAGATGGTACAGTAATCCAACCTCTTGCCTTAACTAGAAAATGGTATATCCTTTTATTTTCTTTCTTGTATCACCTTAACAAGTTTTAACTCTTTTGTGAAATTAAGAGTGTAAAGGGAGGGAAGGCTTTTAAAATCAAGTACATCAAATACAACATAAAGATGAATAAAAGTAAACCGTACACCAATGCTGACAACAAGGTACTGGCCTCCCGTCTAAAGCCATGACATATGACTCAGAATCTTTGCTTCTGGTGATAAGGAAATTATGCACTTGGAAGGTCAAATTGCCATGTAAAACAATTATCAAGAGCCAAAGACACTCTTTAGGATGGGAGGGAAAACATCAATAAAGCAATACAGAAAACAGAATTCAGAGAAACAGAGTTAGAAATAATGTTGCCTGGAAATGCTTAAGGTAGAAACCAATCTGGAACTTAAAGCTCCAGCAACATACTTGGTAAACACAAGATTTCTGCATTCTCTCTTCTCAGGTTTCCTAACAGACCTACTCATTTATTCCTAATTTCATCATTACCAGCTTAAACATTTAATTATGAATAAATTCTGCAACTCCCAAAGCCTAGAACTCCCATTCAGTGCCTACAGCTGTAGTTTTCCATGAGTTTTGTACTCCTTATGTGTTCAGAGACAAGAAAATTACAGTAACACTCAGGAAAACAGAACAGAGAATTGTACTGAAAAAAGCATCAGGTGAAGTACATGAGAAGAAAAGGGGGAAAAAACACTAGAGAAGGTACTTGCACAATAAGTATAAATGAGAAAACAAATGGAGGAACTTCCTAGCATCAAGAGCAAAGCTGCAATAATGGCATTGATGTTTTAAAGAAAAACATAGGAAAGCTTGCCTTGTTTTTAATGAAGAAATTCAGGAATAATTGCCAAAACAGACCGGAAGCAGTGAAAGGTGCTTGGAAACTTCAAAGGGACGCACAAAAGGAAAGCTAACAGCCCTTCAGAAGGTGGAGGTGATTCTGCCCCTCTGCTCTTGTGAGACCTCAACTTGGAGTACTGTGTACAATTCTGGTGTCCTCAACATAAAAAGGACATGGAACTGTTGGAACAAGTCCCGAGGAGGCCACGAGGATGATCAGGGGACTGGAGCACCTCCCATATGAAGACAGGATGAGAAAGTTGGGGCTGTTCAGCCTGGAGAAGAGAAGGCTGCGTGGAGACCTCATAGCAGCCTTCCAGTATCTGAAGGGGGCCTATAGGGGTGCTGGGAAGGGACTCTTCATTAGGGACTGTAGTGATAGGACAAGGGGTAATGGGTTTAAACTTAAACAGGGGAAGTTTAGATTGGATATAAGGAGGAAATTCTTTCCTGTTAGGGTGGTGAGGCACTGGAATGGGTTGCCCTGGGAAGTTGTGAATGCTCCATCCCTGGCAGTGTTCAAGGCCAGGTTGGACAGAGCCTTGAGTGACATGGTTTAGTGTGAGGTGTCCCTGCCCATGGCAGGGGGTTTGGAACTAGAAGATCTTAAGGTCCTCTCCAACCTTAACTATTCTATGATTCAGAAGTCTTCCTTGTCCTATTACTCAGACAGCTATGAGGAGGTATATAGTTCCATAACAAGAAGAATACACTCATCTTGCAGTGCAAAATATACACAAAGAGAACATAAGAATTTAAGATTCAGCAAAGCAGGTGCTTGGGGAGCAAGGGGGCTTGGTGTTACAGACACACAGAGAACAGGTGGAAACAAAGGTGAAAGGAAGGAACTTAAGAACACTGGAAACAAGTGGAAGTTCATTGAGCAGCATCTTGGCAGTTTTGAACACAAGCTGTGTAATATCAGCTTTTTGCCACACTAGGGTTTGTGCAGAGAAAACTTCAAAACATATTTTTTGATAATCTAGAGGGCTGCTGATAGCTCTCCCTTCATGAGCAAGGTCTTTGAATGCCAAAAGTCTGCATAGTGAACTCAATTATTTTATTTCACTAAGTTTACTGTTAAGAAAAGCCAACAGCTAATTTAAAGGAAATTTGTACCAACATAATTTCCTTTCACTGAAGAAAAGAAATGAGGAACAGGCATATTATCTTAAAATGCTCTTTTTTTTTAGGCTTCTGATCAATTTGAAGATGAGTTGTGTGTTCAAGGGCATAGTTGCTGAATTGTTAATACCTGAACTTGGCTGTGCTCCTTGCCTAAAATAGACTTTGTAAAAGGATTTATTTTTTAATAGTAGTAGGACTTCCAAGAAGGGGAAATTAAATTTGGAAGAGGCTTCAATTATGTAGCTTACTCAAGCAGATGTGATAAAGCAGACATGAGATAAGGCACAGATTTGATAGGAAAAAAAAAACAGACAATTGATAAAAAAAGAGAGTACAGCATTAACCTTCGTATATCAACAATGCACTCTTTCAGATTGCTGAAAGAATTGTACCCAGAGCAAGGAGATCATGCATTTTACTTTTGCCTTTGTCTCTTATAAACTAGACTAGACTTAGTGGTAATCTTTAACTAGTTAAAGAAGCAGGTAGAATTGGCATCATTACACAGTCTGATAAGATAGTCGATAGTAATATTTGATAGCTGGGTAAGGCTGCAGAGATCATTTCTTTTAAAAACAAATTTTGTTTCTCCAGGACAAAGATCAGATGGCAGCAATTAAAAAGGACTTTCTTCAGTGATTCAAATAAAGCAAACATAATAAAGTGGTCTTCCATAGGAGGCAGGCAAAGCAGTATATAAGGGTCTGCTGGTAAGACCAAGAAGAATTGAAACAATAACAGAATAAATAGGGTCAAGAAGTGTAACAGTGAAGGAAAATGAGAATGTTGATGATGGATGTCCCTGAAGGAGCCCCTGGGTACATGAAGCAGAGGATTTATTAAAAGGAAATAAATGTGCTAATTTACTAGCTTGAAGTCTTGTAAGGATTCAGGGAAGACGTTGTTCCCCCAGCTATGCAGCAGCCTACAGGACACAGTTCCACATTCATCGAATACATGCAACTTTCACACCTTCCTATGAAAAAGCACTTTCTTCTTCAGATGATCCAAGGTTTGAAAGTAATAAAAATACAGATCCTGGAAAGCACATACTAGGTAAGAGACATGAGCACAAGAGAGAAACCATAGAAAGAAATGAACAAATCTGGCAGACAGCTGCAAGCACAACCATGCTAAGAACTATGGCTTCCACAGTGAGTTTAGGAAGTATTGGTGACTTCCTTGAGACC